GCGGTACGCAGGCCTCTCACTGTTGTGGCCTCTCCTGTTGCAGAGCACAGGCCCCGGACGCGCGGGCTCAGCGGCCATGGCAGCGGCCATGGCTCACGGGCCCAGCCGCTCCGCGGCACACGGGATCCTCCCGGACCAGGGCACGAACCCGCGTCCCCTGCACTGGCAGGTGGACTCTCAACCACTGCGCCACCAGGGAAGCCCAGTATCATATATTTTTTAAATACAGTATCTTGTTATGAAAGATAGTTATGTCTCTTCTCTAGATTTTTGATGTATGTGAAAATATGGAATAGCACTGCTAATTGACAGAATAATTCAAAAAGTATTCTTGCTATGAGTCTTAATGAAATGTAAATCTTTTCTTTCTGACAATTATTTAAGGGCTCTTGAGTAGTTAAGAGCCCTTAGGATTTCCCTCAGGATAACCGTAATACAGAAAGAGTTGGCTTGAAGATATCGATGTATAGAGATGGGTTTGATTTTTTTATGATTTAGGGTAGCATCAAAATTAGAGTTTGTGGTGACAGAATGTGTCAGAAGTTTCAACAAAAGGAAACCCCTGACTTTTGTACTTCTCTGAACTTCCTTTCCTAGATTTTTTTCTCCTTTTTTCTGGAATTTCATTGCCTCATTGGCTACTCATATTTAAAAAAAAACGGTGTGGGTAATACTGTTGCAAAAATTCTAAAGAAAATAAGTGACAAGTTTTCTAATGTGGGTCACCCAAAACTCTTCCAATTTATTTAAGAATCATAACATGTTCACATGGATAAAAAATCATAACATGCTCACAACTACATGAAATTTGAATGATTCCTTTTGCAAATCAATCAAATCTTTGTACTCTAAGCAAAGCCAGGCCAAATTTGAGTAATGTTCAGTAATTTATCATCAGACCTCTAGCTTCTTCGAAACCATCTACATTAAAGTCCAAATTGCTCATATTTCAGCTCTTTTTTTTAAAAATTTATTTATTTGTTTATTTATTTATTTATTTTTGACTGTGTTGGGTTTTCATTTCTGTGTGAGGGCTTTCTCTAGTTGTGGCAAGCGGGGGCCACTCTTCATCGCGGTGCGCGGGCCTCTCACTATCGCAGCCTCTCTTGTTGTGGAGCACAGTCTCCAGATGTGCAGGCTCAGTAGTTGTGGCTCACGGGCCCAGCCGCTCCGCGGCATATGGGATCTTCCCAGACCAGGGCTCGAACCTGTGTCCCCTGCATTAGCAGGCAGATTCTCAACCACTGCGCCACCAGGGAAGCCCCTCAGCTCTTCTTATGACTCCAAGATAATAAGTAGGTTTCTAATTGACATAGTTTACATTGTACATTGGTTTACATACCATCAATAAAATAATAATAACTACAAAGAATATAAAATAATAATTAAAAGATATTGTAATATATGGGTATCATTATTCTATATAAGTATAAGAATATAAATTGTATAGATATTGATATATATGAGTAAGTAAATGTTTAACAGCCAACTGAGACAAGAAGTCCCGACTGAGGCATGAGATAGATGGGTTCCAGGCAAGACATTTACAACTAGCCTCCTGTTTACACTTTGAGATAGAAATAACAACAGGAAGAGGATGAATAGCTGGACTTTGTCTCCTGTGGACACTGTAAGGTAACAGTAATGGCAGGGGAGGGAGGGGCTAAGCCTTCCTGGGGTAAAAGATAAGGAGGTCACAACTCCCTTATTCTTGGGGTCAGGAAGACCTCCCAAATTACACTTGCACACAAAGTTTCCTCAGGAGAGGGGGTGCCAGACCACAGTAAGTTTTGCTAACTTCCCAGAGCCCCTCACACTGAAATCCATCTTGGCTAAAGCAGGCAAAGGCACATGAGGAGGGCCCTGAGACAAATCAGATAGGGGTAAAAGCAATATGACTGGTCAGAGGAAAACAAAGACCTGGAAGCCTGCCCCCTTATAAATGATTTAAACTTCCCAAAGATGTGACTCTTACTGAGCCTGCCCATGTGTCTATCCACAATATTCCTCTCTTGCCCTCCAAAGGGGACAAAAACCAGGGCAGTGTTGCAGCCAGGGTTGAATCCCTGGTTGGGGAACTGAGATCCCGTGTCAAGCTGCCGCAGCCATGGCTACACCACAGGGCCCCCAAGAACATGACTTGGAGCATTTGTCACTTTCCATACTGTAAATATCTCCCATCATGGCCACAAATGAGGTCACTGTACTTGGAGTTGGAAAGAGATGTCCAAAATTGGCCCTCAAAGCAAGCATGAGCCATCTTTTCAGCTCCAATAAGCCACTGTCTTAAGTAAGTTATATATCTAAAATGTAGAGGAAATAGGCATTTTTCTTTATAACTTGTGGGAATGTGATGTGCTGCAACAATGTGGAAGATAATATGGCATTACCTACTAAGATGAAAAGTATATGTATATGTATGTATGTATATACATATATATACATGAATATATACAATTTTTCTCATAGTAACTTTATCTTTTAATTATCTATTCATGAACAAGTATGTACTAGTACTTAAGAGGTTTATGTAATAATGTAATGATACCAGAATATATTCCAAGCATTAGTTTAAGCACATTTTTGTTTGCTAACTTGCTAATCCTCACAAGAACCCTATGTGGTATATTTCATTAATATCCCCATTTTACTACTTAGAAAACTGACATACAGAGTATACCAAAAGTCACACGCTAGGAAATGGCAGAACTAGGATTTGAATATGGGCAATATGGTTCTAGAATTCATGCTTTTACCACTATACTATACTCCCTGCCTCTCAGGAGAATCATGAGATTAGCTATCAGTTCTGTGCCAAAACCCAAAAATAAACAAAAAAACCTTAAGTATAGTTGAATAAATTGTGACATATCCTTATTCTAGTATATTATATAACTTTTAAAAGGATATAATCTGAAAACTTTTAAAAACACTAAAAATCTTATAACTTCCTATACTTAGCATTCACATTTTGTATCGCATAATTTACATTTGTATAAAAATTACTATTACAGATAAATTCAAGTCTTCATTCAATTTCTCACCAATTCCATTCCTTCCTTTCGAGGATCCATGTATATCCTGTTATTTCATAATTTTATCCTTGAAATGCTAAAATCTTATCAATCTTTCCCCAGTTATGAGTAGTCTAGCAAATTGGATTTGAATTGTCCCAGATGTCTTTATAAATAGTTTAAAGTAGATGGCAAGTCAGAAGATTTATTTTATTTTATATTTCTTTAAAAAAAAAACCTCATTTTAAATAGCACAATAAAAATTAGCTTTCAAATACATTCCATAGCAATCTGACTTTTCTGTAAATTTTATTAGAGATTTTGAGTCAGAAAGGAAAATTGTACCTTTTCTCCACATTTTCATTTACATAGGAAAAAAAGGGGTTCAGTGTTTTTGAGGAATTATGAGGGGCCCTCTTTAAGAGGTTTTACTATTTCCTACATCCATAGTTTCTACTCTAGTCTCTGCTACTGAGCCCTAAGACAACCCACATTGAAATGGAAAAAAAGAAACAAAACAAGTATTTTGAATGAAAGTCTAGAAATCTGTCTTCAAAAAACTAGATTTCTATCTATATCTACCCACACACATATACTATATATGTAAACATGCATGCCCTTTCTGCTGAAATATCTCTAAAAAAGACAAAACATGGCCACTTAGTGACACTTTCTTGCATATAAACTTGTTCAGAACAGCTGATGGAGGATATTTCCTTTTGCCACTCCCTCTTGTCTTTCTGTTCAGCTATAAAAATATGATTACAATGCTTAGGGGTTATTAAAGGTACAGGCTGGCTTCAGAGTCTAACTACCTTTTCAGAACATGGCCCTACCACTTATTATAGGAATTTTTTCAATGTCAGATGCTATCTGTCGCCAGCCCTGTTAGATTTGTTTTTACTAAAATACTAGCCCAATTCTCCTCCTTCCTAACAAATTATTATTATTTTTTCAATATGCCCAGCCCCAGGAGACAAACCATACTTGCTTGTCATCCAGAGATGATTGTCTCATTCCCCTTTACCACCTACAGACTTCCTTAACTTTACCGTCTGCTATGCTGACTCATATTCCTGTTCTGTGTGGGGAAGCTGGGTGGGAAGGAGCTTCTTCTCAGATAAAAGCAGACAGAATCAATGAACATAAGAAGTCCTAGTTTTACCACCCTTATACTCAGACTTGAATTGCAGTCGTGATGCTTACGGTGCTGGTATTCACTAGCACCAGAGCCATAAGCATCACAACTGCAAATGGGAGATAAGGCATTGTAAAAACAACCAAATTTCAGGAAAAGACAGATTTTAAGGACAGAAGGAACCTGAGTCTTTGGTGATATACTTGAACTGTCAAAGCAACTCTTGAACCACATAAATCTAAGAATTTTATTAAAATAATAATGGTAATGACAATAATAATAATAATGTTATACAAGCAATTGTTTTTCAGGTTTTCTGTTACTGCGGTCCATATATGTGGGTTATGATCATAGTAGCTTAGATGTAGTGAGCAACTACTCAATAAAAGATAAATGATTCAATAAATGATTCAACAGTTCTCTACCTTTAGTGTACTTTGAAGTCCCCTGGGGAGCTAATAAAAAATGCAGGTATTTCACTTCTACCTTCTGAAATTTTTATTCAGAGGGTATGAGGTTGTGTCCAGGAATCTGCATTTTTTATACACTCCCAAGGTGATTCTGCTGCAGTCATTCGGTGGATCATGCGTTGAGAAATACTTCAGTGTGAGCTAAAAATAAACTATTGAAGTGTATGAGTGATTCAAAGAGTGAAGAATACAGTGAATGGGAATAATCTTCCTACCCCATTCCATCCCATTTCCTATTCAGAAGACTATAATATACAAATTACACTGAGCACAGGGCTACCCTGTTGAGGCTGCAAATCACAGTGAGCGCATACATTCTGGGCAAGTTCTGTACTTCATAAATTCAGAAGAGGAAAGTAAGAGAAATTAAACACTCACATTAGCTTGGATGATGACAAAGTAGCGAGTCTTGTCTTCGTAGTTGAGCCTCTTCCTTAACACTACATTTCCGGTCAACATAAGGGGGATTTCAAAGGTGTCACTGGAGGTCTGCAAATAGGTAAAGATACACATTTGAGATCATCTGAACATAAGATGAATTAGACAACCTTATATTTCAGTTTAGTCCCGTTGAAAGTTATAGACAACATGTTCACCATCTGAAAACAGGATGTGAGTGTAAGCTTCAGATTTAATATTCTTATTTCCAAAAACTTGTCATTCTGATCAATAGGTCTCACTTTTGATAATGATAACCAGGAAACTTACTTCTTGTAAGTTTTTCATATATTATTAGGGTTACCCATCAACAGCCCTGGGATACTTCTAAGCCCAGATATCTGAAAAATCTTTCCTATTACCATATTATCTTTTCACAATTTTTGTTTAATCACCAAAGAGTTCAAAGATTGCAATTTGTGATTTCTACATAATATCCCTTTTCGACATTGGTGCCCATTCTGTATTCTCAGTATTTTCAAGTACTGTATTAAATACAACTATTAACTTGAAACTGTGTTTTTGTGAAAAAGAATGTGCTGTAGGTTGTTTTTTGTTTGTTTGTTTGTTTTGTTTTGTTTGTTTTTCCAAGCCTCAAAACTGCTATTCATTAGTTAAGTCTCCTATCCTCACAGGGGTTGAGTTTCTTCTTGGCAACATGCAGGTTATAAGGGCAACTTCCAAAGTGCCTTCCAGCAATACTGCTTTGGCATAAGCAGCCCTCACTGTAAGACAGTATAGTCATTCCTCAAGGGAATATAATTTATAAGATCTGTCTCTCAGCCTTAAAAAGACCTTATATCACTTTTGTGTTTTAGTGCCATTTTGAAGACTGATAGTCTCTAAATTATGACAAGTCAGTTTTACTTTTAGTATTGGAACTTTTTTGGTTGATTGTTTTGTGTAGTAGGCGTGCATGTGATTGTGGGCAGCAGATGAAATACTTAGATTCTTCAGAAAAAGGAGGAGGAGGTGGGGGAGAGGGAGGGGGAGAGGCAAAGCAGGAGGAAGAAAGCAGAAGAGGGGAAGGGAAGGAAGAAAGTGTGTGCATGCCTGTCTGTGTGTGTCTGTGTTTATACACTCAGCTGACACAAGGGGAGTTACTTAGAAACAGCGGTAATGAGACAACAGCTGACTCAAATCTTCTATCTCAAGTTCATTTGGGGGAATGTGGGCAAGTTAACCTTCAATATCTAGAGTTGTGATCTCTCCCTCTCCATCTTTTTCTCCCTCCTTCCGTGACCCCCTCTCTTTCTTGTACACACATACAGAGTATACAATTGATAGATACTTTTTAATGATTTATTCTGTGTTCATGCAATTGGCTTTGCAGGTCTTTCTTGGATTCAGTCATTTAAAAAGTAACATTTTAAAACATAAATATGGAAAATGTGCCATAAAAGATATTTACAATTAAAATCAGGCATTTGACATTTTCCCTAAATTTTTGCCTATTTAAACACTGCAGGACTCTAAACTATGCCAGGGAGAGTAAAAATTGTTTAATCTAAATATCTAAGTTAGTTATGGGGAATACTTTAGTTAATAATTGCCACATACACTGTAAAACACAACTCAGTGTGTTGTTATAGGGTTGTTAACTTTCAAAGACTCAATAACCGTAGAGACATATATCAATTCTAGCGTGTTTATGAAATATATGGTGGGTTGCTTACCGAAACGCCACCTCATCCTTGGAGTCAGAACTCCAAATGAGTTCAGATAACTGGTGGCTTTGTGCTTTAGGGGAGGCTATGACCCTAAGTGGGGTGAGTTTTGACAAATCTAATCCTACCACGGAAAATCCACACTCTTTGCCAGTGATTGTTTTGGAAATGTACGTGAGATCTAATTCTAAATAATCTGAAGAGTTTTTCTTAATTGTAAAGAGAGAGAGAGAGACAAGAAAAAAAGTGTTCCCTTCTCTGCTTACAGATGCTTCTATAAGGATGTAAAACCTGGAACCATCAGCAGCCATTTTGGAACTATTGAAACAGTTAATCTAGAAGTAAACAAAATGCTCAAAATGGAAATGGAAGAGGAGGAAATGGAAAGAAGCTGGCTCTGTGATATCTCTGAGTTGCTTAACAAATCCTGATACCTCCCCTTCTCTGAACAGCCTGTTACAAGAGATAATACATGACTTTGTTGGCAAAGTCACTTTAAATTCAGTTTTCTATTATTTGCAGCTGAAAGCACTTTGATACATGATTATCTCCCGCCTATGTGTCCTCATCACGTAGTCCCCTCTCTTTTCCATTTATGCCATGACTCTTTGCAGGTGACATTTGCTTTTAATTTTCTCCTGCCTAAACATTCTATCCCTCATTTCTCTGGATTATAAATCCTGCAAATCTTATTCGGTAAAATCTTCTTTGTCATCCAATTTAGGATTAAATCTTTGCTCTTATGTTACATTATTTTTTCCAAACAGCATTTGTTATTTGTGTATTTTCTGCTTTCCCTCACAGATTTCTCAAGGATCTCAGTCTATGATGTGGAAATACTTACATTTATGTTTCTAACCAAGTAACGTAATAGATGTTTGTTATCCTATTTTAGTTGATAATTTTCACTGGATATTTGTAGAATTATTACAAGCATTGTAGTAAGTAATTAAGGATTATATTGTTCTTAAGAACATTTTTAAATTAAATCTAATTCTTATTAGCTAAGTCCATCTTTTATAGATATCTGAGATTTTAATTTTGCTAGGAGTTTCATAAATACTTATGTTCCAAGAAACATAAGGAGAATATCTGCTTTATGATCAATGTTGTTTATAAATTATTGCATATGAAAAGCCTTTGTGTTAAAATTAACTAATTTATTAATGAAACAAGTATTTATAAAGTATCCATTCTGTCTTGAAAAAACAGAATAATAATCATGAGAAAAATTAGAAACAAAATGTGGATAAATGTTTAGGGTGCTCTTTATTTTTCCTCTAGCAAAAAGAATATTGGATTAGATCAACTCAAAGTAAATGCCCTGCTGTAATGCTATTTCTAAAGATCTACCTAAGGAGGAAAAAAAGAGCAAAATTTAGTATGAAAATATAGTTGTTTTTTAAAATTATTATATGATAAGGCAATGTGACAATGATTTTCAAAGTTTAGAGTATATAAGGATCATAGAAATGTATCACTTAGATTGCAGATTCCAAGTCTATTCCTCCAAATTCCAGAAATTCTCAGAAGTCTATATTTCTAACAAAACTCTTGGGTGATTCTCATGTAGAAAGTTTAAGTTTTACTTTGAGAAACACTAGACTAGAAGATAGAAAGGACCAAGTTAAGCATATAAGAGTTTTGGCATTTGCTTGTGATCTCAACTCAATAATAAGCTCCTATAATATATTTTTAAGATGGATAATTATTTCATTTTTCTTTATTTGGGAGCTAGTTGTGTTAGGTTAACAAATTGACTTGATGTTAGATTGGGATGAACTTTTAAATATAATTTGAGTGAAGACTCTCAAAGGTAATAACATGTTGAGCATTTAATATTTTGCGATTTTAGTAATTACTAAAATTGTGCTTTTCTAATTCAATCTGATTCCTTTAATAATAAATAATATGTCAGAAGGATCCCATAACTCTGATATAGATATATGTGTGTGTGAGTGTGCGTGTGTATCAGTTTATCAAGAGTATCTCAGTATTATACTCTTGTCAAAGAACTGTTTGAGGTGGAAAGGGAGGTAGAGTCTGCACTCTCCCTTCCTCTACCATTTATTTTCCTCTCCTCTCATCCTTAGAGATTTGGTTCATCAACAAAGGAGAGGGGTATAGGAACACAGTCATATCCTTTTTCTTAAACAACCTACATTTTCTGGAAATAAGGTCCTGACCCTCTTTCTGTTAATTTTGGACACTGCTCTGTAAAGCACGAACTAGCACTTGTTTCTTTGGGTGACCTCTACCTGCCCAGTGTTAATCAGGTCATTCCAATAATGACTAAGCCTCTTAATACCCACAGGCCCCAAACCTCTGCTCTCCATCAGGAAAGGTCCACTCACAACTCCCTGGCAGTTTGGTGTCTCAGTAACTGTCAGACAAGGGGCAATTCTCCATTTAGTAAATGAGGACATAGGGCAGTTTAAAGGATTTTATCACTGTTGGAAGGATGAGAAAAAGTGTAGGAGGCATGTGTAATGCCTTCCCTTCACACACACACTCACACTGACTTAAGCAAAGAAGGGAGATGGAATGTTGACACTAACAATTCCGTGTTTCTCCAGAGTTGATTCCATCCCCCCATAGCCCTCTTTATTAACCTGTGGGACGCTGAATTAGTACCAACGTAGATAAAATGACACCTCTCTGCTAGTCCTGTAAGGAGGTGTTGGGCTCCACAGTTGGAGATGATCTAGAAATGGAATATGAGGTACTTAGTGTTATTTGTTCTCAGCTGAGAACTCTGGTAATTCATCATTTTCTAATAAGCAGAAAAGATTCTGTTTGGCTTCTCATACCTATGCTATATTTACAAATACTGTTTTTGATATTATCCATTCAACTGTAAGGACTAGAAATTCAGTTCAAAAGAAGAGAGATTTATTTTTGAGACCTGCACACACACAGACACACACATACACATATACATGTATATCTATTTCCTGGTTATCTAATGACAGAACCAAGGTACAAATATGCTTTACTGGGCCTGCAACTGAGAAGTGGTGGGAACTTAGGTAACAAGGAAAACATTTCTCAGTCTCTCAGAGGCTGTTAAGTTCTCTTATTATTGTTTTTCTACATTTTTTTGGAATCTCTCTCTCCCCTCTCTCTCTTCCTTCATCACCTCTAATTTCTCTCTCTCTTCAGACTTTCCCCATTTGTTCATGTTGAACAGGACTGTGACTTTATCTCTTAGTTTGAATAAACAGCACCAACTCTGTGTCCTAATCAGTCTCTATTTGGTCTTAAGCTTGTCATGGATTAATCAGGCCACCATGCCATTAGCTGCTGACCCATCCATAGTTTGGTGTGACTCCCCTAATCTGAATTACCTGAAGTGAAAAGTGGAGGATTAAGTAAGATTACGTA